ATTTAATGCAATTCTCGACCCTCGATTTAGCAGCGTCCACATCCACCGATTTGAATGCAAAGTATAACTGAGTATCGTCGGCGAATAGATGATAATCTAAGCCATAAGATCTTATCACTTTAGCAAGTGGCGCAGTATACAGAAGGTAGAGAACAGGTCCCAGAACTGAACCTTGGGGAACACCCACGGGAAGATCTCGTACCGTAGAATTCGCCTCATTGATGTTTACAAACTGAGTTCTTTGAGAAAGATAAGAATCGAACCATTGCAGTACAGTTCCTCTGATGCCAAATGATTTCTGCAGTCGTGCCAGCAGCAAGGAATGGTTAACGTGATCAAATGCTGCCGACAGATCCAATAAAACAAGGAAAACATTCTCGCCCTTATCCAATGACAGCATAATGTCATTTGTAACTGTGAGAAGTGCAGTTTTTCTTAACATGTAGTGCCTCTTTGTTTGATTTTGTCGGTCGTAAGGAGGTTCATTTAAAAGTTTACTAACGTATCTTTACAAAAATTCTGCTTCACGAAGCTAAATTGCACAAGATCTCCTCAGCCAAATCAATGTCTCAATGGTTTCTTTCTTACTGTCTTTATTGTAGCTGTTTCATTTCTGCGTATTCCTTTCACAATTATCTGAGCTTGTATGGAAGCTAGCAGAAGAAATAAGCCTTCAATCGTCATCAAAGCGCTTCCCACCTTTTGGTCCTTCGACCAACGGTAATAAAAGTAACGCCAAAAAATCCCGATTTCGCCCAAATCGAAACTTAACGGGAACAATATATCATTGGTCTCATGTGGTCTGTAATCCTGAGAAGTTTTAGTGTCATATTGAACTCGGCCAAGCGCGATGCAAACGGATTTTTCAAGGTTCTCTACACTGTCTCTTACTCTCCTCGCATCTTTTGAGTCCAAAATCAAAGTTTGGTGCATGCGCAGTAACGGGATACTGTTCCTTTAATCTTGATCAGTCTTATCGTTCTTAATTGCCCAAGCTCTTAACATTTATTGTAAATCTTGAAGGACTTCTCATTTCATCAGTTTATTTTAATATATCGAACGTGGGTTATTGAAGTGCTACCCAGATTTGGGTAGTCAAGATTTTGGGTAGTTAATGGTGTATTAAAGCAGCTGAAAACTAATTTTCAAACAATTTTTCGCTTCAAAAGGGCTCTTTTTGTAATAGAGTACGCTTGAATTTCTAAGCTTTTGCGTGACGCAGCATTTACATGACGGCCGAGAGAGCTGTAATGTAGGTTAAAAAAGTGACTTTTTTCGAGGAATTTTGCTATTTTAACAGTTCATGTATTAGAAAAGGTATTACTTTAATGTTTATGAGTTCCTCTGGGAGTAAATTTACGTTTTTGTAGTAAAACTCGGTAACAAATGTTTCTGTTGGTTTCCGTCCGCCATGTTGGTCATGTTGGTACTCATCCGGATGCAACCTCGTCCCCAGGGCGCTTTTTTGGCTTTGGAGGTTGATCCGGATGAGCACCAGCATGGCGTCTCCATACAAATCTCTATAAATTTGGGTAAATCATTTCTTCAGACATCTCGTATACGAATTATTTCTTCGGCCTACATCTTGGTGAGGGTCTATGTACATTTATCTCCTTTCGTTTCCTAGATTCTGGACTTTATCTATCGAATGGTTTTGGTTTATATTTTGATCTATTTTGAATGGCGTGACACTGAAAACCAGCAATACACTAAAATCTCAGCTCCTCTAACCCCTCAGCAAGGCCTGATACTCAACCTAGTGTGCAGAGAGCCGTGTATTGATCACTTTAGCCTGTGAGCAAGCTCTCCTATTTGGGCGAGCGAAGCGAGTCTCGCGTGAACGCGCGAACGAGTGGCGAAGCCGCGAGGAGCGGAGGAGGGGAGAGCTTGCAACGATCTCTCATAAATTTTCATTTGTACTTCGCCCAGACGAAGGGAAATACCATTGGCTGAAAAATGACGTTCCGGAAAACAAAGCTGATTGATGACAGACCAAGCTGGCAACCCCTTTGTCTGTGTGACAAGTTTGGTTCTCAGGTAGCTTGTTCCAGGCTCCGAGATAGTGGTGAAAAGTCGTTCAGAAAAAATAAATGCGAAAAACGCGCGGGGGCTGGGGAGAGACGGGGCGACAGAGCATCTAAGCATTTTTTTAACGGCCTGTTCCGGTATATCAGCTCCTGATATACCCTCTGATTGGTCAATTGTGACAGTTAACATCATCACCTAGTAGCGTGGTCATCAGTTTGTCATCACCAAGATGGCCAACGCGAATCGTGCGTGTGATCTTGATGAATCCGCGTTGTCTTGTGCTTTGGACGAGTGTTAACCTGAGATCAGGCGTTATTATTGTTTTTGGCATGATCTCAGGCCAGACGAGTGTCTGCGACTTGGCTCGCGGCGGCTTTCGCTATTATGCCTACCGGTTTCGGCAAAAGTTTAATCTTTCAGCTATTCCCACGCTTGGCTAAAGCTGCTCTAACCTTAGAAACCTTTACGATAATAGTCGTCTCGTTGCTGATATCTATAATGCGAGACCAAGTGGAACACTGAATTTAAAAAGCTTGGACTTTCGGCCGCAGCTATTGGCATCGGTGTAGAGAGAGAGGAGGACAAGAAGAAAGCGAGAGAAGGAAAGAGCGAAATTGTTTTCGGTAGTCCGGAGTCTTGGCTTATCACAAAGTGGCAATAACAAAACAGTACAAAGACTGTTAAGCTTTAAAAAGCTATTACCAAGGGAGAAACTACGCGCTCCAGTCAAAAGACTCACACTATTATAAGAGAAACACTAAGCTGGAGTTTACTGAGTCACAATGCAATTCTCCTTAGTTGATGTAGCTTAAGTTTAAGCTGCACTTCATTCTTATAATTCTGGATCTGTAAATCAATGTCCGTGATAATTTAACATTCTCCAAAGAAAACTAACGAGCTTGGCCCAGCGTGATACAGCATTGCAGAAAAACATTACATTCACGGACTAAAGAAAATCACTTAGTCAGATCCAGAAGGCACTTTGGAGAAAATTAAAACCCTCATTCAGCCGCAATAAAAAGCTTTATGTTCAAAAGAGGTCAAAGAAAATGCTCTCTCATCAGAGGTCAAATCCTGCCGACCAGAAACAAAAGCCACAGTAAATCGATATGTGTGCCATGACCTCTCAATGCGAAACAAGCGGCTAAAATCACATTTGCTCAGTGAAAATGCAGAACCTTCCAGAGCATAACCTACCCAACAGGAAAAAACTTACCGCCCCCTTTTATTACTATAAAACCTGCAGCACTTTGAATGATCGAGTGCGAGATTCGCAGACGCCGTTGCTGAATTCTCTCTCCCATTTTCTCGGCGCCACCGCCCCCTTTCCCAAGTCGCGCGTCGCTTTGCTCGTTTATATACGTCGGCACTATACTATCTGAGAGCCTGGCACAGACTAGTTCTCATGGGGATCAGATTGGTACCGAGAACTTGTTTCAGCCCTCAAAGCAGACGAGGGGGCTCGTTTGATTTAGTTCTCGCAAAGAGAATATTGCGAGCCGAGGATAAGTCGCACCGAGTTTTTAGTTCTTGTGGAAGGAAAATGAAAACCCTTCATCAGTTGTATTCAGTTGGAAACAATGTACAAACTGCGATTAACAGAGTTTGTCTTCAAGTGTTAAAAAGGTTACACCGTCACGAAATTTAAAGATTTGTTTTTACAGAGGAATTCAGGCCGCAGAAGAAATGAGAACATCATTCTTCCAAGACCAGAAACACATTTTATCTGGAACTCCATACGCTTTAGAGGAGCAATAGAATGGAACACTTTAACGAACAAGGAAACAGGGGCCAAAACCTTGAAAGATTTTAAACGCTGTCTTGTAAAATTTGACACCGATAAAATGAACTTCAATTCGAACCAATCTTAGCTACTATTATAGAGATATCGGTTACGAACACTTTTAACAGTTTTAATTTTTAATTGTACATTTTCACGACCTATTTTAGCATTTTTAACAGTTTTTAATTTTTAATCGTACCGTTTGCTTTCAGTACTCCTTATTTTTTTATTATTTTTTTTTTGTAATTGTCGTATGCACGACCCCACCAGGAATGCTGATCTTTTTATTGTGCTAAAATAAAGTTCTTATCTTATCTTATCTTCGTTTGTGTCAAGCGCCTTGTTTAGTTCTGAAAACGAGTAGAGTGAAAGTGAAGAGAGATTCAAGCCGGCCCGGTTCAAGCGCTGCTTTCCAACGTCGGTTTCTTCACTCAATTGTATTCCAGCACTGGGTAGAAAAATTCAGAAACATGTACTTGACAGTGTAGCTGTGTAGCTTGACCGTAAAGAAGGACAGAAGAATTGGTTGGTAGCAACTGGAGCACAACTTAAAAGAACCAAGTCGGGGAAAACGTTGCTCTCCAGTTCCAGAACGAACAAATATAACGTTTTTGTTGGTGATTGCGACGGGGAGTCGTCTTCTACACTGCAGTATGGACGGCTTTTCAAAACTGTAAACGAAACGAGGATCAAAGTATTGAGTTCTCCTTCGAGAGGTTAAAGTTCGATGTCCCCGTGGGAAAAAAGCATATCAGTGATTAAAAACATTGCTTTGATGCTGTTGCGAAAGCGATTTATAAATAAATCATTCTACGCGTAACTTGACTGGCGGTTGTCACTTTTCTAATCTGCGGCACGTTTTGCGGTGACCAGTTTCACGCTTTTGCGGAAGCAGAGAGCCTATATACCAAGCGTAACAATCTTTAAATATCCTTGATAGTGACAGTCGTTAGAATTATATATGGCTTCACTTTTTTCTAGAATAGAATTTAAATTGCTATTACTGAAAGTCTAATTTTATACTAAAAAATATAAATCAGTTTGATAGATACTTAAATAAACTAAAATTTCGTCGTAAGCGTTTAATGGCGTTTGTTTTCATCTTTGCAGATACTGGTTGTTCAAAACCACAACTGGTTGATAGCTGACGTCTGAAATATCATACTGTTAGAATATCCTTGTCATCGCAATGGCTACCGTGACATTTTCTCAAGAGCAGCTAAACTTTTTTAAGTTCTCATCTGTGGTGATTGACGAATTTCCAATCGCTCTCCGCCACGCTTTTGTTCACATGTGGGACAATCAAGTCGCTCCTACACCAGGCTTTTATAAATGGGACGACTCACCTCTAGTTCGCAACATGTTTCTCAGTAAAGAGGGTGGAAAGACAAAATATATTCCAACCGGTAAATCATATCATGAGTGGGACTGCACAGCGCTGTTTGAAGCCACTCTCTATGCTCAGAGCTTTGCCGTGCCGGACGGAAGTGGCTGGTGTTCTACTTTAGACAAAGTGTACGTGAAGCCTCGTCGTTTACCAAGTGGAACATTTCACCCTGTCATTTCAAGCCCTTGTGGAAACCAGGCCGAGACGTTTGCGTTAGCATTGGATCAGCTTCGTCTGCTACGCAACACACTCTGCCACCAGACAAGTACCCAAAAGATTGACAAGACAACTTTTGATCATTATATACAGCTGGGAAAAGATGCATTTGCTGCACTGGGACAGGACACAACGAGGATTGATGAGATCGGAAAGCTTGAAGAAGAAGAAGACTTTCCTACTGCCAGGCTTCAAAAGCTGAAAGAAGAGTTGAAGAGAGAAAAGGACGTGGACATCAAGTTTAAGCAAATGAGTGATCACTTCCAATCTCAAATCAAAATTGTGGGATCAGATATGAAAACTCATGTGCAGATGAAAGTGGAAGAAGTCAGGTCAGACGTAAAAACAGCAGTAACATATATGCAGAAGAAAGTGGAAGAGTTCGAGAAAAAATTGCAAAATGTCGAATCAGACGTGACAATTGCAACATCAGAGCTGTCAAAAATGAAGGTAAACGGCAACGACGTAAAACAAGAAGCGCTGTCCGGATTGACAAAAGGTAAGTCAAGTAATCACTTACCCGTCTCTCACCGGCCCCAGCCCCTCCCCTCCCCCACCCGGCGGTTTTCGCGCAACGTTTCTATACGTGCTTTCCCTACTATCATGGAGACTGGAACAGGCTAAGTAATCAATGTTTGTTTTCACGCAAAAGGCCCATCTTTCTTGGGTAGGAAACTGTCCCGCTCGTTTTGTATACGATGACTTGTCAAAGGGTATTCCTTTCAAGTGAAAAAAGAACAGTAGTACTAAAAGGGACACAGTCAGCTGATGCACATGCACATTAGATACCATTTCTTGGCTGATTTGCATATCTCAAGATACGCGATCCATACTTTAAAATACTCAGGAACAGAATTTCAGTTAAGGTTCGAAGATCGAATGAAACACTGGGCAAGACTAAAGGAGATCTCTAGATGTATTCAACGCGTACTTTGATTTTCAAAGTGGCCAAACTAGTGTCCAGGTCAATGCGGTCCCAAAGCTGAGTGTGTCTCTTTAAAAAGCATGACGAAACAAAGATCAAACAATAGCACAAAATACCTTCTCTAGTTTGGCTGATTCAGTGTTGACGCTCTGCACATCGCTAACATACCAGAACTGAGGAGAAAGTGCCACCTTTGTGACGAAATCTGCAGACGGTCAGTATACTTTCTAGACTTCTCAGATAAGGACGATAAAGCGTAGACCCCATCTCACGACCATTGCTCATAATAACGTCCTAATTCTATGGGACGTTAAAAACGCACATGCACACCCCACGTCGCTGGGTTCATCTTTAACTAACACTCACATTAGAGGGTATTCATAACTCCTTACTTCGGTATCAAGTAAAGTCCCCCAACCAGTTTTAAATTATTTCTGAAAGGCTAACTGGAAAATCAGTTGGAGTGGATGGCACTGCACTGGAATGGAACAGATTTATTTGAGTTTTTATTTGACTTGAATTAAATCGGTCAAATATTTAATGTACATTTTTAAGGCTTTACCCGAATAGTGGTATGTAGTCATTCAGGTCACTTTTTCCACGCGATCCTGGTTCCGAGTTTGCCCGAACGAGTTTGCTGGGACCGAGTTTGTTCGGGACATGATCGGGAAATGAGCGGAAAACGGTGGGGGAAATAGTTGGTAAATGTTCTGGCAGTGGTCGGAAATGATCAGAAATGGTCGGCAATGGTCGGTTGCTAAGGGAGTGTAAAAACTGTCTAAAATTCATTATTTCAAGTAGATGAGACGATAATTAATGAGCCCCTAGACCTCTTGAAGCCACCTTAAGGTGACGTTACACGAGACGATTTGTAACGATAATATTTAGTGCAATACAGCGTTGTAAATAATGTTGGAACAATGTTGCAGCTATTTGAAACAATGTCGCAACAACGTTGTTATGCTGTGTTGCGCTAAAAATCGTCGCTGCGAATCGTCCAATGTAAGTTGAATGGTACGCATGCGGACATGTAGAGTTAAATAGATACGCACTTCCTTTGTCTAAACGAGAGTCAAGTCGTCTCCCCTCATGCAAACATTTTGTTTTAAGAATATAAAAGCCCAAGAAGCTGGGTCATTTATCGTCAAATCAATCTCTCTTTACAAGACTAAAAAATCTAAGCACTATTTGCAAATCGAGTACAAGAGAACTAATTACAAAATCTGAGTACTGGGTACAAAATTAAGGGGGAAAACTAACAACAGGTCCTATTGTGTACCGTACGCAAAATACTTTCTAAAGCCCAAAAGTTTTCCTGTTCATCCCTACGCGATGCAAGGATGCGAAGCGACATATCCCTCTTTACAATATTAATAGAACGATACGTAACTATTACGTACCCTGTATTTAGTTTAGGTAAAAGAGAGTTGATTAGATGTGGGAGTTCAATTTCTGTCCACTCATGCCACCATTTACAAGAGCATGCATGCGCACCAGAATGGAAAGATACGCACCTTCATTTTAATATGTGAATTTAGCCTAGGCTAAAAGCAAAGCGTCCGTTTATATACTTTTCATTACTTTTTAAAAAGAGGTGCGAATTTTGCAGTCTTTCGTTTACTTATTCCTTTCAGTGTATTCATCGCCCACAGAGAATCTACTTTTATGGATCGATTTGTTTCGTTTAACTCTGTCCGAAAAGTTGCACAAATATACAGTTCGTGCATGTTAGAGAAGTTTAGCGCCAAGCGCGTGCAATTTTCGCTCGACCAAAGCAATAAATAAATAAATAATAATAATTTAATATTTATCTTGCGCAAAATACATGTAAATATGATCAAATGCGCATTACATGAAAGTAAATTATCAACATTAATAAGTTATCCAAAATAACTAAAAATATTATATAAAAAAACAATGGATCTATAAAAATATAATATATACATAATCCTAAAAAAAAAAACCCTAGTAAAAAGCTAATCTAAAAAAATGGGTCCTAAGTAAACCTTTAAACCTATTAAAATTGGGCTCATTTCGTATTTGTGATGGTAACCCATTCCACAGTTTAGGTGCCGCAGCTAAAAGAGCACGGTCACCCAATGTCTTTTTAGTTAATTTTAGTTAAAGTTCTTGGCGTTTGAAGCATGATTCCCATTGCACACGATCTTAAATTGTATCTCTCTTCCTCCCTTTTGCTAATGAGTTCTTGTAGGTATACCGGAGCTTGCCCATGGATCGCTTTAAAAGTAATTATAATAATCTTAAAATGAATCCTAAATTCTACTGGAAGCCAATGAAGCGTACACAGAATTGGTGAGCTGTGATAAAACCTTGGAATCTTAAAAATAAGTCTTGCTGCGGAATTCTGGAGCCGTTGTAACTTTGCTATTTGTTTAGCTGGTAACCCATACAGAATACTATTACAATAGTCAATGCGCCAAATTATTAGGACATGAACAAGTGTCTGGGTTGCTTGGTTACTTAAATACTTTCTTATTCGTCTTACATTGGTAATGTAGTAATAGGCTGCTTTACACGTGTTATTGATATTAACTTGAAGACTCATGTTACTATCTATCCATGTCCCTAAGTTCTTGACCGATTGAACAGGTGACACTTGAGCATCCCCTACTGCAAGCGAGTCAACATGAACCTTGGACAGTTGCTGACGGGTGCCTATTATTACAAACTCTGTTTTGCCATCATTGATCTTCAGTTTGTCACACGGCATCCAAGCTCTTATCTCCTTTACACACCGTTCCATAGCAGCAATGGCATCATCGGTACTTGAGGCACAGCCAGGTTTAAATGCTAAATATAACTGCGTATCGTCTGCATAAGCATGAACGCTAGGCAGGTGTCTCTTGACAACTTCAAACAGTTTACTGGCATACAGAGTAAATAGTAACGGCCCTAAACATGACCCTTGAGGAACTCCTTGATTTAACTGTAGAGATTCCGAACACTTGCCACTTAGTGAGACACGCCGATAACGTTCCGATAGGTATGACACAAACCACTCCAGTGCTGTACCTCGGATCCCAAAACTTGTGCTCAGACGAGATAGTAACACAGAATGTTCCACCGTATCGAAGGCAGCACTCAGATCCAACAACACAAGCAGAACAACTTCCTGACGATTCATTGCTATTAATATATCATTATATATCTTGAGTAAGGCTGTTTCTGTGCTGTGACCTCGTCTATACGCAGATTGCAACAAGGGGTAGAGGTCATGTTCAGAAAGGTGTGCATGTACCTGGTCAAATACTGCACGCTCTACCAATTTCGACATATACTGCAGGTTACAAACTGGACGAAGATTAGTAAAGTCATTAATTCCAGCTTTTTTGTAGCGAGGATCAATAAGGACTTCCTTCCATACCTTCGGAAAGTGTCCCCCAAGTAGCGATGAATTGATCATCTTAGTAATAACAGGTAACAGATGATCAAGTGATTCTACCACAAGTTTAGTCGGCATGGGGTCTAGATTACACGTTTTCTTTGATGACTTCTGAATAAGTGCCAAAATGTCAGCTTCAGAGAGGGGCTTGAACTCCGACAGTATCTTTGCATCACTGACTATAGAGTCAGCTGGTACATTATCCATATCAGCAATAACGGTGGAGTCTATTTGATAACGTATCCGCATAAATTATATCAGTGTCGGTGCCTTAAAGGGACAGTGTCCCGATTATGCGCACTTGCAAGCGCCATCTGTTTTTTCTTCAAAAGACAATAGAACTGTCATATTGACTCGACAAGATTTCCTTCCGGACCGCACCGCCGACGGAGAATTGTTGTTTACATTCTCAAGTAACATTTTAGACTTTCGAAGAAGTCTTTCGTATTTAAATTTGGCTCGCGGCACGAAGACTCATCGTGATTTTATCGCTAGCAGGGCCGCCTCGCCACCCGAAAACCTCGTTCCGCTCACTTTAAGGACAGCTTTTCTAATGTGAAACTCCCGTCAGAGGTCAATTGTTCCAAGCCCAGTAATATTTGCCTGATTTGCTCGCGTTCTAGCCTCAAACGTTTGAAAGATATAAATAAAAATGCAATCTCAACGCTATGAATCATCGCAAAGGTTAGGCGACTTTGTAGAAAAACGTCTTTGGGTATGAGTACTATCCAATCTTCCTCCCACAAGTTCGCGACTTTGTAGAACAAAGTCTTTTGTGCGTGATTGAACAAGATTTTGAAATGCGCATGCGTTCTATCCAATCTTGAAAACAAACTTAAGTTAAAAACTCTTGAGAAGAAATTTTTTAAGCCTTTGTTAAAAGATGCGTACGAGGAAGATTTAATTATCTTAGCATTCAGAAAGTTGTAAAACTTTGGACCTTGAAAGTAAACGGAAAACTGTCTTGTATTGGTTCTGCATAGCGGTAAACGAAAAGATTGAGCACTCCTAGTATTATAATTATGTATTTGGTTGTTCCTTTAAAAAAGTTATTGAAGTTTGAAGGGAGTGTAGAATTATTAAATGAATTCTTAAAAATGCCAAATTGAAACAAGTAGATATACTGACATTGCTCCTTGAAGATCGGGTCAGTATGGGCATCGTACCTAGATTTGCTTACTATTCTTTGTGCGCGCTTGTGTAAAATAATTCCACTCTCACATGCCAGCAACTCTCTTTTACCTAAGCTACAGGGCTCTTATATATCTTTCTATAGTAATGTACATGCGTATCCTTAAAAATATTCACATGAGGGAACAAAACTTCCACTCCCACATGTATGCGACTTGACTTTCGGTTACTAATAAAGTGCAAATCCCCTAAAGTGCGCTATTTATGGCGTCAGATCGGGGACAAAATCGATACTCAGATTTCCTGGCCTTGGAAACACTTCTTCGCTTCGAAAATTATTCTTCGAGTCATTGTCAGTTGTCTTCGTGGCGTCGGTTCCATGTCTGCGAGTCGTCACATCCCTTGTTTCATCGTACTGTTTTCTTCGGGGCACCGCTGGCTTCTCTTCGTGGCGTCGCTATGGGCTTATGTCGTCGTTGCGTCATTTTTATGTCTTCGTGTCGTCGGGTCTTCCTTTCGTCGACTGCGCTACATGGTAGGTACTTGATGTATGGGGACATACATTGTATCGACTTTACCTGCATAAGTTATACCTTCCCTTTTTTGCTTGGTACCCCTTGTTACTCTGTTACCCTGTTACCTTGTTACCTTGTTACCTTGTTACTCTGTTATCTTGTTACCTTGTTACCTCGTTACTCTGTCACCTTATTGCTCTGTCCCCTTGTTACTCTGTCCCTTTGTTACCCTGTTACCCTCTTCCCTTGTTCCCTTGTTACTCTGTTGTCATTTTTTTAATTTTAGTTTATTTTTGCATGACAAATCACAATTTTTTTTTCCCGTATAGACGCGTTCTTTTTTCGCGAGTAAGGTCGTGGTTGAATGGTTTGCATTACAAATCGGTCTTCGTTCAGAGTAATTATTAGCAATCAGCTTTCGTCGGTAAATTTTTCCTGTTATGGGTTCTTGTTGACGGAAATCAAACAAAATTTTCCTTTTTTGAAAACAGCGCTTGACCATGACGAAGGCTCTCTGTCTCAAACCTATGGCAGCTTAAGCCTGTTGTAGTTTCTTTTGGCTTTCATACTTTTATCATGATTTGCCAAAAAATCGTAAATGACAATCAGAGGTTTACGAAAACGGAATATTTTCCGATATCTCTCTCTCCGTCACAATTTTCAAATCTACGCGAAATTTCTAGGCAATATTTTTACGATCAGATATTTTGCACAAAACACTGAGTCTAAAGGCGTCCTTGTAAAATGACTTAACAACACGGCAGGGTCCTACAACAGGTGTGACGTTTAGGTGCTTTCAGTCAATACCACACAAGGCTGAAGTTTAATTGCATTCTTTTTTTAATCACACCTTATCTGTTATCGAGACAATCGTTGAAAATCGCAGAACACGAGGAAATTGAGTTACTAGTATACTCAGTTCAGTTTTCCATTGAATACTAGATCACTACAAGCCGGTTTCCTCCATCTACCACTTAAGTGTTCAAAATTTTTTTGTCACCTCGAGAGGTCAGTTGTACAAGCCTTACGTCAGACTTAACTGCCAACGCTCGGCTTTACCTGACCTCGAGGACTCAACAAGTAGACAAGATGACATGACAAATCGGCAAAACGACAGAACAGGTAGACAAGACGACATAGAAAATATGCATCGAGTTATTTTTGACCCCGACTACCGCTCCACAGCACCAGGGTTACCCTCCCTCCTTGTAAACAGGGCCAAGAGTGAAAACGGTGCTTTCATATTACTCATATTAGTATAACTGCAGTTTCTAAAATATCGAATTTTCAGCACCTTTTCGGCTGGGAATGAATTATAGTTCAATGAATTATCTGAATATCAATGCCTAACTCGATCTGGCTTGTAAAAATAAATGTATACATTATAAATGAAAATGATTCTTTAAAATTGCAACATCATTTAGCTAGAGTATATCTGTATATCATCCCAAGGAAACAAGGAAACAGAGTAACAAGGTAACAAGGGAACAGAGTAACAAGGTAGCGTGGTAACAGAGTAACAGGGTAACAGGGTAACAGGGTAACAAGGTAACAGAGTAACAGGGTAACAAGGTAACAGAGTAACAGCGTCACAAGGTAACAAGGTTACAGAGTGACAAGGTAACATAGTTACAAGGTAACGGAGTAACAAGGTACAGGGTAACAAGGTAAAAGAGTAACAATGTTACAAGGTAACAGAGTAACAAGGTAACAAGGTAACAGGGTAACAGAGTAACAAGATAACAAGGTAACAAAATGACAGAGTAACAAGGTAACAAGGTAACAAGATAACAGGGTAACAGAGTAACAAGGTACCAAGCAAAAAAGGGAAGGTATAACTTATGCAAGTAAAGTCGGTACAATATGTGTTCCCATACATCAAGTATTTGCCCAAGTATGTAGCGCAGTCGACGAAAGGAAGACCCGACGACACGAAGACATAAAAATGACGCAACGACGACATAAGCCCATAGCGACGCCACGAAGAAAAGCCAGCGGTGCCCCGAAGAAAACAGTACGACGAAACGAGGGATGCGACGACTCGAAGACATGGAACGGACGCCACGAAGACAACAGACAATGACTCGAAGAACAATTTTCGAAGCGAAGAAGTGTTTCCAAGGCAACGAAATCTGAGTATCGATTTTGTCCCCATTCTGAAGCTATAGGATATTTATGGGACTTGACTTTCATCTATCAAACGGGTATACTTCGTATCGTATATCGTAAAGTATCCCACCAGGGACTTAAAGTTTTTTCAGTACACAAACCTCAAGGATCCCAGGCTCCTACACAGCAGTCCACATGGTTGCAAAATATAGGGTCTTGTATCCGACTTTGCAATCGCTGGTTAAAAGAGTTTATATACTTTGTGAAGTGTTGTTTGAGCGTCGTCTTTTGACTGCCTTGTAGAATTATAAACTCATTTAAGCCAGTGAGTAATTATTAAATCAGGAATCTATCAGTCAAGTTTTTTTCTTGTGCAAATTACGGCTTTTTTCCAAACCTTGGTGGGACTGAAAAATTTCAAAAAGAAAGTAAAGACGAAGGGAATTCTGTCAGTTGTGGTCAAATGAAAATATGGTAGTCAAAATGGCCTAAAGATTTGCAATAAATACCTCTGTAGCTAAATATATGTTCCACTCTCCCAAGAAGATCACGTGGTGTTGCTATAGAGACTTTTTGTTTCATTTTCGTCTTTCTTATGTGCATTTTAAAGAGTAGCTTAATAAAAGACGGGGGCAAATTCCCGTGAGGACATCATCAGCCACAGTGGCAAAACAAATATGCAAGCTAAAATGGTATATTATTAAATGAAAGACAATCTTTCTTAATTACACTTATAAATGACTGTTCTTATCCTGTAATGTTTTTGTCCTTCATTATCTCTTTAAGATGTAATTATGTCCCAATCATCCATACCCGATGAAATACCTAACTTTGTTGGCCGCGAGGAAGAATGTAAAGGAATAGAACATCATTTGACAGATTCAGTTACTCGACTGGTTAATGTCTGGGGTCCACCTGGATTTGGAAAAACATCAGTGGCCATCAGGGTGGCGCATCACCTACGACAGAAGAATATTCCAGTTTACTTTGCTTCCCTTCGTGGAATGGAAAGTAAGGACGATTTAGTGTCAAAGCTCCTGAGTATGTTCGTAGACGCTAAACGGGTAGGCCATATTTCATCGTCTCACTTAATTATTCAATGTTTACAACAAGTTCAAAACCCTTTTGTCTTAATATTAGACAATGCAGATGACTTACTTGAATCTGGGGAGACCAAACGAAAAGAACACGTGCTTTGCTTTATTGAGGAGATCCTCAATCATTGCAAACAAATAAAGCTTCTGCTAACTACTCGCGAAAGTCTGGATTACTTAAGCCACAAGCTTTCCATCTACCTTGAGAAAATTAATGTATTGGATGGAATTTCGTCTGCAACTCTAGTAAGGCAACTGCTACCAGATGGATCTGAATGTGACTGCAGTTGCATTGTTAAGGAATGTGAGAAAGTTCCTATGTCCATGCGGCTAATGTGCAGCATCATTAAACAAGCAAATATCTCCGTAAATGCGCTTTTACAAGAACTAAACGTTTCAACTCTGGTTGAGGTTTTGGACAGTGAATACTTTCCTGATGATGCTCGACTGAAATCTGTGATAAACACATCATTTAAAAGGCTCATGGTTCGCGAAAGAAACGCATTTGTTTCGCTTTCTGTTTTTCCTGAATGGTTTGGAATAGAGGAAGCTCAAGCCATATTGAATGTAGAAACAGAAATTAAGACCAGACAAATAATTCTATCATTGGAGCGAAAGTCCCTAATAGACTGTGGAGAAAATTTCAGCCATTTTACCGTACATTCACTATTACGATCCTTTATCGAGGAAGAAGTAAAAAATGACCAAGCAGTTGAAGCTGTATATCTGAATGCACAGCTTCAGTTTTACGACTATTACATTTCTAGCTGTAAAGTTGCCAATGAAGACTTTCTGAAAGGACGATTTGGCGACGCATTCAGAAGTTTCCTTCATCGGCGGGGCTGCATCATTTCATCGCTTTCAAATGGTCCTAGAAAAGACAGGATCTACTCCAGGGCTATAGAGCTGTTGTCTGAAGCAAAGTCATTTCTTCGAGTTGCACTGCATGGTGATCAGTTATTTGAGAACCTTTATGACACGGCGATTGTAGAGGCAAAGAGAAGGGGAAACTTGGGCGACGAACAAATGTTGCACTCTGCCAAAGAATCTGCACCCTCTTCACAACTCCGCAAAGACACAGTGAAAAGCTTTTTCTGGTTTAGTAGAGTGCAGCGTGAAGCGGGAGACGTGAAAGGAGCAATAAAGTCTGTAAAGGTAGGCAAAGAACTTTTGGAAAATTCCGAGCAAGGCGTTGATGTTATGCGGGATGAAAATGCGAATCTGCTTGAAAATTACATCTACACTGCACCTACCTATTACAACCAAGAAATGTGGGGCTCTATGACAATGAACCACCAAGGAGCTTTAAATTCGTTACAAAGAGCAGCTGGTATGAGATCACATCTACCTCGTGATTACGCTGACACAATACGCAATTACCACGAACTTGGTACAGGGCGGCGTGACACGAAAGACCAACAAGGAGCTTTGGAGACTTTGCAAAGAGCAGCAACCTTGAGATCAAATCTGCTTGGTGATGACGAAGAGACGGCACGCATTTACCACGAGCTTAGTAGAGTACAGCGTCAAGTGGAAGACCTGAAAGCAGCGTTAGAGTCTGTACAGGTGGGCTTACGACTGCGAGAGGAACTTTTAGGAGATCATCCCGATACAGCCGACAGCTTTCATGAGAAAGGCGTCATTTCATATCTTATGGGTGACAGTAAGTCAGCAGTTGAGGCATTCCAGAAGGCGGCAGACATGAATTTTAATTTGCGAGGAGATCACATAAGCACAGCGCATAGCTACTACAACCTTGGTATAGCGCAGTTTAAGATTCAGGACCGTAAAGGAGCATTACAGTCTCTGCAAAGTGCAGCAGACGTGAGATCACACCTGCTTGGTGATCACGAGGATACGGCACTCAGCTACATTGTGCTTGGCAAAGTGCAACGGGAAGTGGGGGATTTGAAAGGAGCAATGGAGTCTGTACAGATGTGCTTACGAATGAGCAAGAACCTTTTAGAAGATCATCCCAATACAGCGTTCGGCTTTAATGAGCAAGGCGTTATCTATCATGTTATGGGGGAGTGTAAATCAGCCGCTGAAGCATTCCAGAGGGCAGTAGATCTAAATACAAATTTGCTTGGGGAACACATTAACACGGCACATAGCTACCACAACCTTGGTATGGCGCAGTCTAAGATGAAGGATCATCAAAAAGCCTTTACGTCTCTACAACGAGCAGCACATATGAGATCAAATCTGCTTGGCGATCAAGAAGACACGGCACGCAGCTACTTCGAGCTTGGCGTTGTGCAGCGTAACTTAGGAGACCTGCAGGGAGCTCTGGAGTCTGTACAGGTGGCCTTACGATTGAGGAAGGAAATTTTGGGAGATCATATGGATACAGCCGACACTTTTTATGAACAAGGCGTTATCCATTCTGCAATAGGTGATAATAACTCAGCTGTCAGGGCATTCCAGAAAGCAGTAGATATTAATTTCAATTTGCAGATAGATCACATAAGCACGGAACATAGCTACCACGGCCTACGTTCTACTCAGAACAGGAAAGATGGCCAAGAAAGAACTTTACACTCTTTACAAAGGGCAGCACAGATGATATGCGATCTGCTTGGTGATCACGAAGACACAGCACGTAGCTACCACAGGCTCGGTTTAGTGCAACGTTGCGTGGGAAACCTCAAAGGAGCATTAGACTCTTTGCAAAGAGCAGCTCAAATAAGATCAAATTTGCTGCGTGATCACGGAGACGTCGCATGTAGTTACCACTGGCTTGGTCTAGTGCAGGGTGACATGGAGAACCTCGAAGGAGCATTGTGCTCTCTACAAAGAGCAGCACACATGAGATCAAATCTGCTTGGTGATCACGAAGACACAGCACGCAGCTACTTTGAGCTTTGCAGAGTGCAGTGTAAAGCGGGAGACCTGAAAGGAGCCTTGGAGTCTGTAAAGCTGAGCTTACGAATGAGGAAGAATCTTTTAGGAGATCATATTGATACGGCTGACACCTTTCGTGAGAAAGGCGTTATCCATCTTACTATCGGAGATAATCAGTCAGCTGAAGATGCATTCCAGAAAGCGGCAGATATGAATTTAAATTTGGGTGGAGATCCCTTACGCACGGCACAGTGCTACCATAACCTTGGTATTGCGCAGAATAAGATGGAAAACCGCGAAGGAGCTCTGGCCTCTTTACAAGTAGCAGCAAATACGACATCAAATTTGCTCGGGGATCACGAAGACACAGCTCGTAGCTACCACATGCTTGGTATAGTGCAGCGTGACATGGGAAACCTGAAAGGAGCATTAGAATCTTTACAGAGAGCAGCACTCATGAGATCAGATCTTCTTGGTCATCACGAAGACACAGCACGTAGCTACTTCGAGCTTGGTGAAGTACAATGTAAGGCGGAAGATCTGAAAGGAGCTTTAGAGTCTGTACAGCTGAGCTTACGATTAAGAAAGGAACTTTTAGGAGGTCATACTGATACAGCCGACAGCTTTCATAAGCTAGGCGTTATCCATCTTGCTATGGGAGATAATACGTCAGCTGTTGAGGCACTCCAGAAAGCAGCAGATATGAATTTAAATTTGGGTGGAGATCCCTTACGCACGGCACAGTGCTATCATAACCTTGGTATTGCGCAGAATAAGATGGAAAATCGCGAAGGAGCTCTGGCCTCTTTACAAGTAGCAGCAAACACGACATCAAATTTGCTCGGGGATCACGAAGACACAGCTCGTAGCTACCACATGCTTGGTATAGTGCAGCGTGACATGGGAAACCTGAAAGGAGCATTAGAATCTTTACAGAGAGCAGCACTCATGAGATCAGATCTTCTTGGTGATCACGAAGACACAGCACGTAGCTACTTCGAGCTTGGTGAAGTACAATGTAAGGCGGAAGATCTGAAAGGAGCTTTAGAGTCTGTACAGCTGAGCTTACGATTTAGAAAGGAACTTTTAGGAGGTCATACTGATACAGCCGACAGCTTTCATAAGCTAGGCGTTATCCATCTTGCTATGGGAGATAATAAGTCAGCTGTTGAGGTACTCCAGAAAGCAGTAGATTTGAATTTAGATTTTCTCGGAGAACACACAAACACGGCTCAGAGCTACCACGACCTTGGAGTTGCGCAGAATGAGATTAGGGACCGCAAAAGAGCTTTAGACTCTTTACAAAAAGCAACACATATGAGATCAAACCTGCTCGGTGATCACGAAGACACTGCACGCAGCTACCACGTGCTTGGTGTAGTGCAGCGTGACGTAGGAGACCTTAAAGGAGCATTAGAATCTTTACAAAGAGCAACACAGATGAAATCAAATCTGCTTGGTGATGACGGAGACACTACACGCAGCTACCACATGCTTGGTTTAGTGCAGTATGGCATGGGAGACCTGAAGGGAGCCTTGGATTCTTTACAAAGAGCAGCGGCCATGAAATCAAATATGCTTGGTGACAATGAAGACATGACGTCTAGCAAACGCATAAGTATAGTGCAGCGGGACATGGAAGATCTTAAGGAAGCTTTGGAGTCGTTGGAAAAATCAACGGAAACGGCTTTTGACTTGCTTGGTTACAACGAGTACATGGCAGCTGCCTACCTCTCTTTTGGCGTAAAGCGGCGTGAAATGGGAGATCTCAAAGGGACTTTGAAGTCTTTGAAAATAGCACAGAACATGTCATTAAATTTGCTTGGTGATCACGAGATCACGGCACGCAGCTACTACGAGCTTGGTACAATGCAACGTGAAATGGGAGACCTCAAAGGGGCTTTGGGTTCTCTAGAAAGAGCAGCAAACGTGAGGTCAAAGCTGCTCGGTGATCACGAAGACACGGCTCGCAGCTACCACGAGCTTGGTAGAGTGCAGCATGAAATAGGGAACCTAAAGGGAGCTCTATATTCTTTACAAATAGCACAAAAAATGACGTCAAATTTGCTTGGTGATCACGAAAATACGGTACGCACCTACTACGACCTAAGTAGAGTGCGACGTGAAATGGGAGACCTTAAAGAGTCTTTGGATTCCTTAGCAAAAGCAGCAAACATGAGGTCAAAACTGCTCGGTGATCACGAAGACACGGCACGCAACTACCACGAGCTTGGTGTAATGCAGCACGAAATGGGGGACCTGAAAGGAGCTTCGCAATCGTTAGAAAAAGCAGCAAACATGAGATCAAAAATGCTAGGCGATCATCACGAAGATACGATAAGTAGCTTGAACGAATTCCGTACCGTGCGAATGAAACTGCCGTTCGAGCGTTATCCTTTGCTTGGCAAAGTGTTTAGGTGGAAAAATTGACATGAAAAATAGTGACTAGTTATGAAAAATAGACAGGAACTATAAAGTGCACCCTTTGATACTTCTTAGCTCATAGCAGTCTCTCAAAAGGGTTTTAGCGTTTTACAAACTTGTTAATTTTTAGATTAATTTGTTCCCCAAATTCATACTATGCAGGAGTTACACGTCGGCGTCGACATCGAATACATCGGTGGTTTCCTCGACATCTGATCAAAATTTTTTTTATATATCTTGAATTGTACAAGAATCCGTACGTATACGTAGAAGAGTTCCGTTTTTGGAATGAGATGGCGTAAAACCTGTATGTGATGCCCGCGGGACCTTCACTGGCCAGGAATTGGATTAATAGTGTTTACTAAATACAGGTTTGTTTTACAGATAATAAGGGAAGAAACTTTTGTAACAAACCGAGCCATTCGTTCGTCTATTAGCTTTCGCAGTACTCTAAATTAAACAACTGGTCTGTTAAAGTGCAGACATTGATTACCTCATAATTTGTATGAAGGCTTCTTACTCCGCTTAGGTGGTCCACTTTTGTAGGTTGTTGCTCACTTGTTGCCTTTGGTCTTTTTGGTTGGAATAAAACAGCTTCAAAATATGCATTTGACAAATGACAAAATAATGTCAAATGACCTAGAATTGAAGTGTGGTGCTTTGCCGTCCACTTTAACACAGCCACTCATGTTGCAGCTGTTGTGGCATCAAACAAAGAGGCAAGGCCAGGCGGAGGACCGTTTCAGCTTTAAATGATGATTTTTACCCTGAATGATACCTTAACTGCAATTTCTGAGTAGCAAATTACTTCTAGAACGTTGCTGTTTTTAACCGCAAGGAACCTAGAACTCTTTTCTTCCAATACTCAACAAAAGTAGGTGATCAAACGGAACGAATCGGAACTAAAAGCGCTTCAAAACACCGCATACTAATAAGAGGAGGTTTATCAGATATAATGTCACTGCACGTGTTGTATTATCGACCATTTGATAGGTCAATGAGCTTATTTATTAATGAGTTTTTGAAGGTAAGTTAACAAGAGCGTGGTAGTAGCAGAGCTGTTTTTGCGTTTGTTATGGCCGTTGTTGACTTGCCCAACGTTCCTAGACATTTAAGGTGAGTAACAGGAGTTTTATGTGCTTGTGTGCTATAAACTGTGTGCAGTTTAGTAGGGCATATGATAAAACGTGGGCTGGAGTGATAAAATATGTAGTGATGAACAAGTAAGAACGGGGGTTTTTCCTAGGTTTCATAGGATCTGAATATGACATGATGATGATGATGTTCCAGTACCTCCTGCTTTCCGTCACGCAACATTTCGGGTCGGAAATGAAAATAAGTGGGGTGAAAAATTTCAACACGAGTCCGTTGGGGAGACTCAGAAGGCCACTGGTTTATCAGCTCTTGGAATTGTCAAGTGTCACCCTCGCTGAATAACGTTAGTTTTGTTGTTATTGTTGATGTTGGTTTTAGTTTCGCGAAAGCGTTGTTAGCAGACCTGCATCATAGAACAAAAATAAAAATAATAGAATAATATTAGAAACGTAGACTCATTTGTTCACAAGAATCAATAGGTTACTGCTTCTGAAAAGTGAGCAGAACAAGAAGTCATGTATTTGCTTATGTGAAAATAATCTTTAGTTTCCAAAATCGTAAATTACTGTCATGGTCAGCTCCTACCTTTCTGTCTTGAAGTATTTTCCCTAAAAAAAGCGCTGCTCAAGTGTCCGTTGTTCGTCTTTTATTTACAGATGTAAATATGACTGAAAACGACAGGAACGAACACAAGCTGTCCGTCTGTCCGTTAAAAGAGAATTGACTAGATTTTATTTTATCGTTCCATGTTTTATCATTCCATTCCATGTTTTACCACTCCACTGGCATTCCATCAGTTATGTTTCATATGCCGTTTAGTAGAGTATTCTTTGCAGGGTTCTTACAGGTCATGGAAAACCCGGAAAGTCATGGAATTCAACAATTTCGTTTTCATGGCAGGAAGGTCATAGAATTTAATTGTCGTTCCTTGAAAGTCATGGAAAATTAAAGTTTTGTTTGGTGGATTAGTTACTGCAGATTACAAAGCAAAAAGCAATGATAACGTACGATAAAGAGGAGTAATTAGACAGCGCGAACAGCAAGCATTTTGGAGGATACCAGAGTTTGTTCCTGTTGAACTTTTTAAGCGGTAAAAAAATATGTTAAAACAACGAACGGTTTCGAAAATTTTCGAAAATGACAGTTAAACCTAAGGTCATGGAAAACTAGAAAAGATCAAGGAAAAAGTCATGGAATTTGAAGAACTCAAAAGAGTACGAACCCTACTTTGAAGTTCTTATATGAACCAGCGCGTTCTATCAAAATCTAGCGAGCGAGCTCAAAAGTGAGCCAGTGTGTTGTTATCTACCAGTGTACCAGTTATACCGCGACTAGTTCTGCTGTTTCATCAGTAGATGTAAGAAAAATGAAAGAACGACGTCTATCCTGAACTGTACAATAATTTTGCTATGTTTCACGTCCTTCCTCATTTTGCAATTTCCTTATTAATAACCTCTATTTTGCATCCCTCTTCCATCGAGATTACTTTTTCACGATAGTAATGATATTCCCAAACAAACGGAGGGTTTAAGGAACCAAAGTGATCCGAACATAAACCAAGCCATCCATTCACAACGGAGGTGCCTTCCTGAGCGCATTTACAAGGAGTTCTTCTGGATAAAACACGTAAGGTACGAAACGTTGTTTTGCTGTCCTGTATGTCCTCAAAAAGGGCTCATAATACAAGTGGATGCGAGTGCTTACATCTGCTGTACAGTGGTTTTCGCTGTCAGATACCCAAGGTAGGAGGATTCCACTCACTCAGGTTAGTTCATGAACGATAAGTATGCCGAAACACGATTGGCGTATTTCATTTGCATAAAATGACCATTGCCGTTTTTTAATAACTTTTGCAAGGATCCAGGGGCGTAGCTACCTGTACGCAAAAAAATAATAATAATAAAGCGAATTCTTTAAAAAAACGCAAAATAATTTTAAAAGCAAAATATTCCTCAATTCATTTAACTCTGCTTGTTTCTTTGTACAATGTTTTTTCTAAAACAACGGACTTTTTTACACCCGAAAGTCGGTTTCTAGAGAAGAAACGCGTGGTTTATTCGAGGACCGATATATTTAAAGAAAAGACGGGGGAAAGCGCGTAAATAGAAGCAAGTTAAAAGCGTGAAAGACGTTGTAGTGTGGGGTGGGTGTTCAGACAGATTTAGAAAATTGTGCGTACCTCTGGAAAAATCCTCGCTACGCTCCTGTTAGGCCTTTTTTCTAATGGCGGCAAATCATGTACACTGCAGCTATATATCAATTGTTCAGAGAATTTTTTTCTTTTGCACTCTTTGTGCTTGGGTATTGTTTTTAACTCTACTTGGCTAGTTTGCAATTTCAAAACGAAGAAGAACCGTGCGCAGAGACAAGAGTACAAAGGGTAAGCTGATTCGCTTAGTTTTCTTCCTCCTTCTCAAAGTCTCAAGTTTCGTTGTATTCTTATCATTATCATTGTCAGTGTTATTTTGATATATTCAAGTTTTAATGAGTTAAAGCATGTAGGTAATATGTACTAGGCAAAAACAGTATTGCATTTTATATTCTCTTTAAAGGGAGATGGGTCGATGAAAGCAATATCCACCAGAGGTAGTGGTGGCTAGAGTGGTGTGTCTAATTGCAGTTGTGTGAATGTTCTGTTTCACTTCGAACCAAAAGGTAACCCAAGAACCAAACCAAACCTATATTTGGCGATATATGAGCTGAAAGCTAGGTTAACTGAAATGCTAACAAATCAAAGAACTCTCTATAAGACAACTCGAAAATCACGAGTTATCTCTTTGAAAAGTAGCAGTTTACAAGATGTTTGTGATGGGCAGGTATGAATTAAGGAATGGCTCCTCGTTGATATCTGGCTTTTACCCTTATCATTCCCCTTTGGTTTTGCACTCCCTGTATCTTTGACTATAACTGTGCACGGATGAAATGAACTATTTTGGTCGCTAACCTTGCACTTTTTGAAGTCTCATGACCAGCCATGCCCTTAATTATGCAAAATTTTACATGTTACAATTACACTACTTTTACCAACCTTTAAGTTCTCAATTGTTCTTTTATTGTATTTAGTCTAATGTTTAACATGTCAGATTAATCGGAGAAGTTTAAGATTTGAGGTTTAAGATTCATCTAACGAGGCTTTTGCTAGGGAAAACTGATTCTTTAAGATGTAACTTGATATAATTGAAGGCTGGGTGTGATCTCAAGAATTATGGAGATAGGGAGAGCTGTTATCCGCCGAGGAAACCACCCTCTGAGATTTCCACGTCAGATCATACTAAAGCCGAATGCAATAATTATTTTATTATACATTCAGCAAAATCCTTTATTGGTACTTAATTGCGGGCGAGCAAAATACAAGCCCGCATACAGACGTATTCTTAGTGAGGGTGGTCATCGGTACCTTATAAACTGTATAGCGAGGTTTTTGCAAATCTGTCCATTGTTGTACCAACTTAAATGCATGGTATGTGGCCGCGAAGGCACTTGAAGCATATGCAACTATATTTGTTCGATTCTCAGTATTCAGCTATACGCGTACTGTACTAAATGTACGTGAGACTTTTCGATCTGGAAATCTGTTTACCAAGCGAAATGAAAGTAGAGACTGACCTGAGCCTAGTGCAAGAAGAGCCTTCGGTGGGATACAAGTGATTGCAAAGTCTATAAATCCATCTGAATAAAGTTAATTGGCGGTATTCACACTAGAAACGGATTATCCGTCTGAGACGGATTATCCGTTGGACAATTCGTGTCAGACATAATACATCTTAATTTAAAAATGGAACGGTCTTAATTTTGGATGGACAATCCGCCTGACTTTATCCATCTGTTTTTCCGTCAATTTTGACGGATTTTGAAGATGGATTATCCGTCTCTAGTGTGAAAACAGCCGTTCAGGTTACACTATAGTGCAT